CTCAACATTGTGACTCTGTTCTACCGTCAGAGGATAGAAGAGGCGATGGAAGAGTTTGTGGAGGTTGTGGCCTTGGAACTCCTGAAAGACAGACTATTGAGTACCAGGGAATGTAGTGTATGTTGGATCTCATTAGAACCTTCTGGCTTAGTCCCCGCTCATCACATTACACTGCTCACAAATAGAGAAGGAAATTGTTCATGAGTCTATTTACAGTTCAGCCTCTCACAAGAAAACATCGAACATCAACAAACAGGAACCGATTTGATTGTTTAGAATTTGGAAAATTTTTGAATTAAAAATAATAATCCTTACGTTTTGTACAACATCAGGCGTTTCATCGTGTTTCTGGGATTTTAATATGTATTTGACCGACTATGATTGGTCGATTTTTTTCTTCAAAGCTGTATCGAAATGCACATGTTATTTGTGTCTCTATTGATTTATCTTGTAGCCAGTCGTATATCAATAGTGTTATTGAGAACAACATCTTCACACAGAGGATCGTGAGAATGTAGATATATAAATAGAACTGCGGTTAAAACAAACAACTGCAATATGTTTTAGAGAAAATGTGATGTACTCTGAAGGGAGCAGGCAACTGGAGCAGAACATACACTCATTTGGATTGTAAACACATGGATTATTTAATGAAAAATTAATCCTTAAATTTAATATAGAGGTTTTCATCTTACCTGGACGTCTCAAAGCGCTTCTCACAATATGCTCTAAAGTGAATTAACTGTATATTTGTGAGTGAAATGGGGCAGCCATTTGCGTAGAGCAGCGTCCCACAAACAGTCGTGGACTGCAGTGACCAATTTTTTTTTGATGGATTATTATCAGGGGCTTGTGAGAAGTAAGGGAAACGTGCCCATGTTTCACCCTGCGGGGAACCGAACCGATTTCCCAAGTTACCAACCCAAAAGTAAATTGCCCGTCCTGGCCAGAGCCTCCCCAATCCCAACTGTCTTCAGTGTTAGTATACCAGAGACAGTGGCTTCTTACACTCATAGATGTTACTCCTGATGTGGACACTGGCTTCAACCTGCACCTATCAGAGCAGCGCATTGTGTGTTTTAACACCTACATTCCTGTTGTTCACAGTGGATCAGGCACCTGGCAAACAATCAACGCAGAAACAAAGCTTGCATATACCTCCTGGGCAGCTTGACCAGCGTGGTTGGCCGGGGACAGAGAACACTGTGGGAAACCTTGGTGCAAATGCAGGAAAACAACCCCAAGATTCAAAAGATACTGAGAGAGATCCAGCAAAAGGGTATGTGTACACACTAGCCTGGGAGCAGGAGCACACTGACTTCAATATAGAACACCAAACAAACACAATCATTCATATAATATATCAAACGCACACTGACATCCAAACAGTACAGCAAACACACACTGACATCTATACTGTACATCAAACTCACAATGACATCCATACAGTACACCAAACACACAATGACATCTATACGGTACATAAAACACACACTGACATCCTTGTCGTACATCAACCACACACTGATATTTATAAAGTATATCAAACACACACTGATATCCATATAGTACATGAAACACACACTGATATCAATATAATAAACCAAAAAGACACTGACATCTAAATAGAACACCAAAAATACACTGACATCTAAATAGTATGTCAAACACACACTGACATCCATGTAATAATAATAATAATAATAATCCTTGCATTTGATATAGCGCGTTTCGCGTCGGGAGGACGTCCCAAAGCGCTTCACAGAACACACTGTAAAGTAAATTGACTGTATATTTGTGGGCGAACGCGGCAGCCAATTGCGCACAGCAATGTCCCACAAACAGTCGTAGATTGAAAATGATCAATTTATTATTGTTTTTGGTTTTGGAGGGATTATTATTAGGCTCTGTGCGGACTAAGGAAACTTGCCCAAGGTTTCCCCCTGCCTGGAATTGAACTCAGTTCTCTCGCTTGCAAAGCGAGTGCTCTAACCACTGAGCTACAGGACTCCATGTAGACCATCAAACACACACTGACATCTATATAGAAGACCAAAACACACTGACATCTATATAGTATGTCAAACACACACTGACATCTATATGGTAACCAAAGAAAAACTAACATCTGTGTAGTACACCAAAAACACAGACATCCATATAGCACATCAAACACTCAATATCATCCATACACAACATCAAACACACACTGATATTTATATGGTAAATCAAACACTTGCGAAATATTTATTGTACAACGAACACATTGTCTTCTCTTTTATATCTATACATTATGTTTTATTGCCGTATCAATTACATCGAAATCCATATTGTATATTTTAGATTTGTGTGATCCAAAGACTGACGAAGTAAATTTCTCTTCTAGGTATCCGTCTAATTGATATGGCGCTGTGGGGTGGAAACGTGCAGCCGTTGTCAGATAGCCTGAGAGGTATGACACAGACTGATGTCAGGATTTGTATTGATATCTTGCTGTCCAACGTGCAAATGTGTACAAACTGATATTGAGTGGGCCAGTGAACAACAGAGCCAAGTTTTGTGGAGTCAGGGCAGGTGGCTTTTGAGGATGGAGGAACATTTCCGGGCTGTAACATATTTTGATTGTGTTTCACACGAAAGCTTCAATCTCACAATCTAATAATTACCACATTAATGAATCTGCAAAGGTTCTCAATTATAATTGTATAACTCTACAAATCTTTCTGGTTGTACACCTAGTTGTCAGCGCGGAGATCGACATTATCATTGGGTGTCGTATTTTGGCATAAGATCGCTAACATTTATGTAACATTCACATTCAAGATATTCAAAATCAGCACAAAGAAACCATTCGCTGCCAGAATGAGAAGCTGTCAGTGAACACCCTGCGTGGCCGGGAGAAGACCAAGAACTTTCTGCTGTCTGATCGATACACGGAATTAATAGTCACTTCTTCTCCTCGTGATCGGAAGCTGGTGGAGCATGAACTGGTGTCGAGAGGCCAAGACCATGAAGAATGGCAAGAGAGGAATGTCAGGAAGGAGCTGGAGAAAATGCGACCGGATCAGTTGTTCGGAAGTAGTTTTGGAAGAAAGAGATGTGGGACCACCATTCTGAGTGGAATCGCAGGGATTGGGAAAACCACCATGGTGCAGCACATTCTATATAGCTGGGCCACAGGGAAGATCTATCCCCAGTTCCACTTTGTCTTTCATTTCAAATTCCGTGATCTGAACGTGATAACAGGGGAAACAAGCCTGAAAACCATGGTCCTTGAATCATATCCTTATCTGCAGGATGTTCTGGACATCATCTGGGAGAAGCCGGAACATTTGCTGTTTGTGTTTGATGGTTTGGACGAGTTCAAATACAAGATTGAGTTCAAGGACAAGATTGGGTGCAGAGAGAGAAGGAGAAACCAAGCCCCTCGGATTAGCTGCCCGGGGACTCAAGGCCTCTGTCACGCGGCTGATATTGTCCGCTCTCTGGTGCAGCAGGAAGTACTGAAAGGCTGTTCAGTGCTCATCACAAGCCGGCCAACTGCCCTGGAGTCCTTAGATCACATCCACACCAATCTCTGGGCTGAAATACTGGGATTCTTCGCTGAGGGAAGGGAAAATTACATCAGACGCTTCTTTCCAGATCAGAAGATTGCAGATGAAGTGCTAAGATATGTGAAGGAGAATGACATCCTGTACACCATGTGCTTCAACCCTTCCTACTGCTGGATCCTCTGCTGCACATTGGAGCCAATCTTCAAACATCCAGTGGGCAAACAGCCTCCCCCCAAAACCATCACCCAGCTGTACGCCAATTATATCTACAACATCCTGAAGAACCATCCACGAGCTAGTGAGTGCCCTCGGGGGGTGATGCTGAGAGCCGGGGAGATGGCTTATGAGGGAATCTGTAACAGGACCATTGTGTTCGATGATGACAATTTCCATCGCCATCAACTTGAACCCTCAACTTTCATCTCAGGGTTTATGATGGAGATTCTGGAGAAGGATGATGGTGGGAGAGGAGTTGTGTACACATTCGCTCACCTTACCGTCCAGGAGTTTGTGGCTGCTCTCGCTCAGTACCTAACTCCCGATCGCAGGAACATGCTGGAGCTGCTTGACCAGGTTCACAAGAAGAACGACGGGCGCTTTGAAATCTTCCTCCGGTTTGCTCTGGGTCTCTCCTGGCCTCACACAGCCCGGCAGCTGGAGGAAATCCTGGGGCCATTACCTCACGCGTCAGTCTGTGAAGCCATCTCCTGGCTGAAGGCGAATGTGGAGGCTGCGATTAAACAGTCAGGGAGTGAAGATGGTAAAAGGAAGCTGCTGCACATGATGTACTACCTGTTTGAGTCTCAGAACAACAGACTGGCCCAGGTCACACTCGGAGCTGTGGAGACACTGGACTTTAATAGAATCAGATTGAACCCTCTGGACTGTGCTGTGCTGTCTCATGTTTTACAGCTCTGTGACACCATAAAAATCCTCAGTCTCGAAAGCTGTAAAATTGGAGCTGAAGGGATCCAGCGTCTGGGGCCCGCACTGCACAAGTGCCGACAGCTCAGGTGTGTCCTTATTGATGGTTACAGTCAGAAACCTGGAGAATGTCGGCCAGGGATTGAGTGGTGTGAGCGCTGGTTCAATACACTGATAATAATGATAAACCTTGTATTTAATAAGGCGCCTTGTCACGTCTTCGAGACGTCTCAAAGCGCTTCGCAGGTTACTTTGTATAAGTGTAGTGTCTGTATTTTGTGGGCGACAATCTGCAGGCAATGGCAAAACAACCATTTCCCCAAAAAGAGAGATAGAGTGAATGAAATATTAAATTTGTTTTTGTGAATCAACTAACAATCGTGTTCCTATTCACTGCCAGGTAAAGAGAGGCGTGTGAGTGGAGGTAGGAATTTTGCCTCAGGCTTTGGCGAGATGTGGGTTATAATCTTGTCTCTTTAGGTTATGATTCCTAAACAGAATATATCTGTAAATGAGCCTCGATGTTAAAGCCCTGACTTGTAAGCACTGGCGAGACCTGACTGGTGATGCTCAGAGACACCAACTGTACCCGGGCTGTGACCTGAGACATCTCTGTGGCTCTCCCTATCCCAGTCGTTCAATCCCTATCCTATATGCTGCCCGCAGTCTGATCTGAATCCACACACAACAAAACAGCCACACACAGCCTTCGCTCAACCTATAGCTTACGTCACTACAATGACTTAATCAAGTCTTATGTTCTAACAAGAACCTAAGGATTTACGTTACTTCACTGACGCATTTGCTCTCTCACAGATCAGTCCTGCAGTGACAGAGATACAATGCTTATCTTCGGAAAGAGATACTGAGGGAGACAGGGAGATAGAGATACAGAGAGTGTTAGGTAGTGGGAGAGAGAGATTGAGAGCGAGAGAGAGGCACAGATAAAGAGAAAGAGAGATTGCGTGAGAGATGCAGAGAGAGAATTTGTACGCGTGTGTGTGCGAGCGACAGATAGGAAGATGCTCATGGACAAAGAGACTGACAGGGTGACTGGGAGGCAGCGAGAGACTGATAGATAGACTGAAATTTTGAGAGTGAGAGAGAGAGCGAGAGACAGAAAAAGAGTGGTGGAGAGCTAGTAAGAGTGAGAAAGAAAAAGAGAAACGGAGAGAGAATGAGAGAGTGTGGTCTGGGGGATTGGGGTGAGTGCCGTACTGATGGTGGGGAAGAGTGAGAGACTGCGTGTGTGTGTGAGTGTGTGTGGGTGAGAATGTGTGACTGATAGAGGAAGAGACTGAGAAAGAATTGATAGCGAGACAGAAAGTGTGTGAGGGAGAGAGAGAGAGAGAGAGGGGGGGAATGACGGAGAGAGAATAACGGAGAGAATATGAGACAGAAATACAGATAGACTGAGAAACAACTACTGAGAGAGAGAGATAGAGAGAGAGAGAGAGAGAGCAAGATACGGAGAGGGAGATGGGTGAGAAACAGGGAAAAAGACCGAGAGAGAGACGGAGAAAGAGACGGAAAGCGAGATGGAAAGAGTAACGAAGAGAGTCAAGGATGCAGAGTCATGGAGAGGGAGACACAGATTGAGAGACAGCGACTGAGAGATTATTATAAAGAAAATCTTGCGAGAAAGATAGAGATTGATTGATATACTGAGAGAGAGACTCAGAACATGAGAGAGTGCGAGAGTCAGAGAGAGCCAAGGAGAGAGAGAGAGAAAAAAACAGACTGAAAACGTGTGAGAAATAAACAATGAGACAGAGAGGAAGGAAGTGACATACTAGGATAGAAACTGAGGTACAAACTCACAGAGAGAGTATGAGAGACTGAGAAAAAGAGAGAATGAGGGAAAGAGAGACTGAGTGTGTGAGAGAGAAAGGGAGACAGAGACTGATAGAGAGACAGAGAGAGAGAAAGAATGGGTGGGGATGAGAAAGAGGGAGGACGTGGGGTTTACCAAAGTTACCAACCTGTGCACTCCTTCCGTTCGGCGGATCCTGTACTGTTGCATGTTCCCCGCCCTTCCCGTTCCACCATCAGGTGCCGTGTCTTCAGTCTCTGAGCCCCCACCCTCTGAAATTCCATCAAGGAGAGCCTCAGCCTCGCCCACTCCATAAACACCTTCAAAGGCCGTCTCAAAACCTTCCACTAGAGTTTCCCTCCCACAGCAATAACCTGTCCTCCAACCCTCTCTGATCCCAACCCCCAGCTCGGGGGCATACCCCACATTGTCCAGCCTTGGGACGTCCTCCTGATATGAAAGACGCTGAAAATGCCGCTTGCACATATTTTAACACAGCGAGTTGTTGGAATCTGGAACCATTGCCTGATGGAAGCCGATTGAATAACAACTTTTAAGAGCGATGCAGATAATAATAATAATAATAATAATAATAATCATTACATTTGATATAAATTCACTTTACAGTATTTTCTGTGAAGCGCTTTGTGATTTCTGGAAGATGCGAAAAGCGTTACATCTAATTGTAATTTACAGATAATGATTTGAGGAATGCAAGTTTGCAGGGCTATGAAAGGAGAGAAAGTGGGGGAGTGGGGTTGATCAGGGCTATTGGGAGAGAGAGGGTGAATTGGATTGATAAGGGATATGGGGAGAGAGAGAGGGAGAGTGAGAGAGAGGGGAGCGTGGAATTGATCAAGGCTATGGGGAGAGAGAGAGGGGTCGTGTGGGGAATGGGGTTGATCATGGCGATGGCGAGAGAGCGCGGGAGCGTGGGGTTAATCAGGGCTACGGGGAGTGAGAGACAGCGGGGGAGAGGGGTTGATCGAGGCTGTGGGGAGAAAGAAAGCGGGGTAGTGGGGTTTATCAGGTCTATGAGAAAGAGCGCGGGGGAGTGGGGTTGATCAGGCCTTTGGGGAGAGAGAGAGCGGGGTAGAGGACTTGATCGGGGCTGTGGAGAGTAACAGAGCGGTTACTGGGGGTTACCAGGTCTATGAGAAAGAGCGCGGCGGAGTGGGGTTGAGCAGGACTATGGGGAGAGAGAGACAGCGAGAATGAGGGGTTGATCAGGGCTGTGGGGAGAAAGAGAGCGGGGGACTGGTGTTTATCAGGGATGCGGCAAAGAGCGCGGGTGTATGGGGTTGATCAAGGCTATGGGGAGAGAGAGTGGGAGCGGGGGAGAGGGTTTCATCGGGGCTGTGGGGAGACAGAGTGCGAGGGAATGGTATAGATTTGGAAGCGGTTTTCATAGAGCTGCCACAGACATGATGGGCCGAATGGCCTCCCTCTGTGCTGTGTAGTTCCATGACTCTAAATGTGAGTGTTTGCAGGTTTGGGTGTTTCTGACGCTTGTCCCCTCCCATTGGGACTTGCTTCCCACGTGAAAGGCAACTGTATATAGATGTCTCTTTCCATTGTGTTGTTACACTATATTCACTGTGTTTCTTTCTCTTTGTCCAGGCTGGGAGTCAACAATCTGGGAGATTCAGGAGTGAAGCGACTGTGCGAGTCACTGAGGATCACGCAATGTCAAATAACGAGAGTGGAGTAAGCAACAGACTGTGAAATTGGAGTCAGTCACTGTCTCTAAACACAGATTATTATATTCTGAGAAGGAGGGGACAGTATTAATGCTGAGATCCTAAACCCTAAACCCGACAAGGACTGACTCAGGGGCAGGACGTGGAGAGCAAATCAATGGGTTCAGAGATGCTTCACACTCAGCTCCTGTTAACCGTGTGATACACAGTATTTACAGGATGGGAGTAGGGGTGGGAGAGGAGAGTCCCAGCTGGAAACCCGAGTGATGTTTCACAGACGGAACTCTCTCTCTCTCTCTCTCGCTCTCACCCACACACACACAGGAGATGTTGTGGGGGTTGAGCCCACCGTCACTCACCCCCCCACCCCCAGCCCAACGAACTGTGCCAACGTCCCCCCTCATTCTACAATCCTGTTACACACTAAGGGCCATTTTCACGTGTAGATGGCAAACATGTCATACTGTTCCTTTCTCCCTGTCGTAGAATGCCCAGCGCATTCCCAGTGTCTCTAAAAGCATTCAATGTTAGGTTTGCTTTGATCCCTCTGTGTGTCAGTGTCTCTGAGCTCCAGCTATTAGAATAAATAATTATAATATAATTAATAAAGGTAGTTTTTGATGCAGCGCCTGATTACGTCATCGCGACATCTGAAAGCTCTTCACAGAACATACTGTTTAGGGAATTGACGGTATCACTTTTGGGTGAAGCGCTGCAGCCAATTGCTTACAGCAGCGCCACAAAACCAGTCGGTGGGTTGAGCGACCAATTGATTTATACTTTAAAGGATTTGTATCCCAGGAAAAGCGATCGGCCAATTGACTAACATCCGGGTTGGTATTTACTGCTGTGTAAACAGCGGCTTGTGGAGCGGCAAGAAACTTAACCAATCTTTTGCCGGGAATCAAACCCAGGTCCCTCGCTGGCGAGGCGAGTGCTGTAATCACTGAGATAAGTAATGATCACTGTGTTTACTCTGATCTCTGTTACTTTCCTGTGTCTCTGATCTCCAGGCTGCAAGGTAACGATCTGACAGCTGATTGTACCGAGGATCTCGCCTCCGTTATCAGTATAAACCTCTCAATGACAGAGCTGAGCCTGAGTCGCAATAAATTGGGAGATTCAGGAGTGAAGCGACTGTGTGAGTCTCTGAGGAATCCGAAGTGTAAGCTACAGAGTCTGAGGTAAGTAACAGACTGCGTGAGAATATAATAACCCGAGGCTGAATTCCCCCGATAACTCAGGGTGTTGTTGACAGTGGCTGATCAGTTGGTGCTGAATATTGTGTCAGGAATCGGTGTGACAGAGTGAGGCCATCAGCCATATCAGTGATCACCAACTAAACATGGATTGACAAGGAATCTCCACCATGTGGCGGGAACAGCAGCTGTGGAGCTGTATGGCCAGGAACAGCTCCTCTCCAGCTCACTACAGCCAGGAAAATCATCCTCGTTTATCCAATCCCAATGCTCCTGTCTCAGAACTGTCAATCCCTTCTTACATCCCTTCCTCCCACCCTTTCCCCCTCCCTTCCTCCCACCCTCCCTCCCTCCATACGTTGGGGACGGTTATAACATTCACGTCCTCCCGACGTGAAAGCCGCTCTATAAATGGAATCTTGTTGTTCTAATAATAACCACAATCAGAATAGATATTGCCTTTGATACAGCGACTTATCAAGTCATCCAGACGTCCCAAAGTGATTCACTGGACAAACTGTACAGTGTAGTGACTGTGTGTTTTGTGGGCCAATCGGAGGATTATTGCTGTCAAACGTGTGAAGCCAAGACTATGCTTAGTGGTTACCATATCACCTGCTGAGTGCCTCACACCTGTGTGTGAGTGTTTGGTACAGAGTTCACTCTCTCCACATACGGAGGTACCTCTGCAGCTCAACTAATCCTATAGAGCAGCGATGGACAACCTGCTGCACGTGGGCCAACTTACACTAGCGTAAAATAGTCCCTACCCCCACTCTGCGAGCCACATGCTCTCCGTAGCGGCTGCAGAGGATTGGGGGCAGGTACTAAGGGACCAGACTTGGGACAGGGCGGGTGGCGGCACAATGTGTGTTGGAATGAGGGCTGCAGTTTAACCAGCGAAACATCCACAGTTTGTCATTGTGAGGAATGTCTGGCTTCTATCTTCTTGTCCATCTGGACCTGCCCCAGTGTGTGTCAGGCTCTGGCTTCCACTGAGGCCCAGACTCACTTCAACACACTGCGTTTGCTGTGATCCCTGCTTTCTCTCAGTCTCTGATCTCCAGGCTGTCTAATATTCAGTAACAAACACTGTGTTTCCTCTGATCACTTTTGTCCATCTGTGTCTCTGATCTCCAGGCTGTATAATACACAATAATAAGCACAGTGTTTCCTCTGATCTCTGTTGTCCATCTGTGTCTCTGACCTCCAGGCTGTGTAATACAGAATAAAATATCCTTTGTTTCGTCTGATATATTTTGTCTGTGTCTCTGAACTCCATTCCGTGTAATCCACAGTAATAAACAATCTGTTTCCTCTGATCCTTGGTAGACAGTCTGTCAGGAATTTATTAGTCCTGGCGTCGAGGACGGAGGTAGAGAGATAGAGATTGATGATATTCGAGTATATGTGGAAGTTGACCCCATGTTTGTCGATGATATCACCAAGAGGCATCAAGTAGAAGTTGAAGAGGAGGGGACTGAGCACAGATCCCTTAGGATCACCACACATGACTGCTGTTACTTTTACCTAACTGTTTCTCTTATCTCCAGGCTGGAGGCTAACAATCTGACAGCTGATTGTACCGAGGATCTCGCCTCCGCTCTCATTAAAAACCGCTCACTGACAGAGCTGAACCTGAATCGTAATGCGCTGGGAGATTCAGGAGTGAAGGGACTGTGTGATACTCTGAGGACCCCGGAGTGTAAGATACAGAGTATGGGGTAAGTAAAGGACTGTGTGAGAATATAGTATCCCGAGGCTGAATTCCCCCGATATCTCGGTGTGTTATTGACAGTGGCTGATCACTTGGTGTTGAGTATTGTGTCACGAAACGGTGTGACTGTGTGAGGCCATCAGCCATATCAGTGATCGCCAACTAAACATTGTTTAACAAAAAATCTCCACCATGTTTTGGGAACACCATCTGCGTTGACGTGTGGCCAGGAGCAGCTCCTAAACAGCTCACTCCAGCCAGGAAAATCATCCCAGTTTATCCCATCCCAAAGCTCCTGTCCCAAACATGTCAATCCCTCCCCCCCTCCCTACCTCCCTTCACACTTTGCGGACGATAATAACATTAATAATAATAATCAGAGTCAGAGTTGTTATTGCCTTTGATACAGCAAATAATCACGTCATCCAGAGGTCTCAAAGTGCTTCAGGGGACAAATTGTGCAGTGCGGTGGCTTTGGTTTGTGGGCAAATCGAAGGATTATTGCCGTCAAACGTGAAAAGCCATGACTATGCTCAGTGGTTACTATATCAACTGCTGAATATTGTACACGTGTGTGTGTGTGTATGTCCGGTACAGAGCTCACTCTCCCCACACAGGGATGGACCTTCCCAGCTCAACTAGTCCTGTAGAGCAGCGATGGAAATAACACCAGCTTAAAATAGTCCCTCACCGACCCTGCAAGCCACAAGATGCCCATCCCTGCTGTAGAGGATTGTCGGCAGATACGAACATACCATGCTTGGGGGAGTACGGGTGGGGGCACACTGTGGTCCCTCTGATCCCTGTTGTCTCTGTGTCTCTGATCTCCAGACTGTATAATACACAGTAATAAACACTGTGTTCGCTCTGATCCCTGTTGTCTCTCTGTGTCTCTGATCTCCAGGCTGGGGTGTAACAGATTGACCGATGGCTGCACTGATGATCTGGTCTCTGCTCTCTGTACAAGCCGCTCACTGAGGAAACTGGACCTGGGGTTTAACTCCTTCACAGACGACTCTGTCCCCGCTCTCCACCGCCTCATAAAAACCTGTACCAGCCTGGAGGGGATCAGGTGAGTGTTTGTGTCAATGTTTAATGTGATAAACACGCAGAGAAAGGTCTGGGTATCAGAATGGGGACAGTTTGAGGGGTTTGTTTATATATTGAACTGCGACATGAACAGTTTACAGTTTGTATCATTATCCTATGGGTTTATTTCCTGTTTAATGTGTTTC